CTTTCTGATTCCCAGGTAGTCCAGGTAATATTTTATGTAAAATGCAAATTACTTTTCTTAGGGACAGTAGGAACCACATAGACATCATCTGTTTTCTTACCTTAATTCAAGATGACAGACCATATAATCCATGACTGAAAACCTTACTAATTTTATCTTTAAAGTAAAAACTGCATTTTACACTAATTCCTATTTCACTGCCATCCACAATGGTCATGCCCCACATTCTTCCAGTATTATTAACAGTAGAATGTCTGTCTCTATTATATTTAACAATCATCATGGGTGATTTCAAATTCTATGAAAAAAATCCACCCAATACTCTACCTCCAAAGTTCAACTTCTTAAATTGCAAGTAGTTCCACATTCACATTTCAGTTAAGCATCTTACTCCCCTGCCATGCATTCCCAAAAATCATTATCCTGAAAAGCTCTACTTAAGAAATCAGTATTCTCATCAGACCACAATTTTTTTAACAGTAAATGAATGTATTCTGGATATACAAGATTAGTATAAATCGTTTCATCACTATCCCCCAGATCTCACTTGCCTTCCTAGAAATAACCACTGAAAAGCATTTTGCATATATTCCATTCACTTTCTACCCATTCTATATACATATAGAATTCTATATAAATTCCTTTTTTAAATTTCAGTGGCACAAAAAACATGCTTTTAGTTTGGAGAACTTTCTGTACATTGTTTAACTTGATCATGACTGCATATTGTCATAAGAATGCAATTTCTTACTCCATTAATGGTTATTTCGATTGTTTCAAATGGCTACTACATGCAACACTAAATGAAAAAAGATCTTATATATAACATCGTGCACACCATCTAGTACTTAACATAGATTCCTAGAAATAAAACGTTGGCTTAAAATTGCCAAATGAGATTCTGTCAAATGGCCTACAAAAACCATCCTAATTTACCAGGTTTCCAGAATCCCTGTGAAAACTTTAAATGTGAAATTATTTCACTGATAGTAAAAATTAAGGAAGTGAAAAATACAGACCAAATATTTTCATATTCATTGGCCATTTAAGGGATTACCTTTTCCCATCTTGTGCCCCTATTTTTTTCCTACTGGCTTATCATGATCAAAGTGCTATTTAAATGCTTTCTGCTTTCATGTATTATCGTTTGACCTATGTAATTCCTAGTGTCAGATTCTTTAACTGTCCTTTGTAGCTTCTAGACGTTTTTTTTTTTTTTATCACACTTGGATTTCCCATCATTAGGTAAGAATTCTGTTTCTTTCCATGAGTGAGCCAGAAACCACCTGCATCAGAATCAGCCAAATCTGCCCTATCCCTATGGTAATCACTTGCCAAATGAGATTTAAATTTGGTAAAATTAAGCAGAAATTCAGCTTCACAAGTTGCACTAGCTGCATTTCATACTCAATAGCTTTGTGGCGAATAGCTACTATGCCAGACAATGCAGGTATAGAATACTTTCATCACAAGCCACATTGGATGGGGTTGTAGCTCAGTTCTACTGATCCGGAATCTGCATTTTAGATCCGTAACAGTGATTGTCAACCTTTGGCACACAGCAGCACCAAATAGGGACCTGGACAGGATTACCTTCCCAAGTTTCAGACTGAGTAGTTAGGGGACCCATAATTTGTATTTCTAACAAGTTCATAGGTGAGGCTGATGTTATAGCCTGGGGATCACTTTAGAAATAACTTAATCTCAATTATCAGTTGAACTGCAAATTTTGGGGCCCCACATGGGCTATTTTAAAGCCTATTTAAGCTTAGGACTCAGGAATCCACATTACCACAGAACCCCAATATTTTGACAGAAGAGAACCACAAAGTTTAAGATAAGCCACAGGGATATAATAGGGTAGGGATGAGAGCTTTGATGTTAATTAGGAGAACAATGGTTGAAGGACAGGTATACTCTTCATAGAGGCTGGCTGTTGTGGAAGCAGTTTACAGTACTCACTCCTGAATGTGTGATGACTATGAGATACATCCATGGGTATGTGTTGCTGAGTATGGAAGTGAAGGTCACCAGATTTGAGGCCAAGAAATTCAGCCTAGAATTCTGGATAGCTTCTTGCATAAACAATGAAAATTGTCCAGGCTGACACAAAACTTATAAGGAAGGGACTGGTTTTCACTTTTGAAAAGATTAAATGTTAAGAGCAAAATAAGAAAAGTAGGAGTTGTCACCAAGTCCAGTCTGATCACTGACACATCTCTGGCAGCTCTCTCCAAGTCCCACTGCCAGTGCATAGATTTACCCCTTTACCCTATGACTTACCACACTGTTTGCCTCCAGATGCACTCACAGAACAAATGTTAGGGCTATTTCTGAAATGTACCCAGCAAGTATTACTGTGCCTTCACATGTCAGGTGCTGCCTTAAGGGCTGGAAATTTACTAGTGATACACAACATTTTTCACTCTTCTGGTAGGAATAGACATCCAACAATGAATAATCAAGTGTGGTTAATGTTTCAATGGAGTCCAAAGGCCTGACAACTATAGGTGAAGATACTAGGGGTTGGACAGGGTCCTGCTTCCACTCTGCTTCCCAGCCTGGATGTTCTCATACTTGGTACAATGCTGGGTGAGCCATGGGTTAACAATACTATTTGATGCTTAACAAAGAAGTAAAGTTCATTGTCACTTGTTTCTTATCAAAAGAATTCCTGCTAAACCCAAGAATATCAAAACTGAACAGGGGAAGATAAAATCTTCCTGCTACTCTATCAACTAATAACCTCCCTCACTCCCTTCCTTGGAGGCCTCACTTTATAGTTTAAACCACATACCAAAATGGACATAAAATACTATTGTCCCATTCAAACTTAAAAATTCACCTATGTAAGAGACCCAGGGAAGACAACAAGACTAATAATGAAAATGGCAAAGATCAAGGACAAGGACAAAGACAAAGTATTAAAAGCAGAGAGAGAGAGAGAAAAAAGATCACATGAAAGTAAACCCATCAGGCTATCATCAGATTTCTTAGCAGAAACCTGACAGGCCAGACGGGAGTTAGTGGCATGGTATATTTAATGCGATGAAACAGAAGGGCTTTGAACCAAGAATACCCTATCCAACAAGATTGTCATTTAAATTTGAAGGAGGGATTAAACAATTTCCAGATGATCAAAAGTTGAAGGAATTTACCTCCCACAAACCATCTCTACAGTATATTTTGGAGGGACTGCTATAGATGTAAGTACTCCTAAGGATAAATAGGTGTCATAGACATAATAAAACCACAGCAAAGGAGACCAATTAATTACTAAGTAAATACAAAATTAAACCAACTACCCACAAAGTCAGTCAGGGGATACACACAGAGTACAAAATATGACACAGAGTAGAGGAGAAAGAAAAAGGAGGGAAAAAAAACAACCTTAAATTGTGTTTGAAATAGCATAATAAATTAAAGGGGGAAATAGAATGCAGTGCATTCGCTTTGGGAGACTTCAGCACATCACTCACTCCAAAGAACAGATCCACCAGACAGAAAATAAAGTAAGGAGACAGAGGCACTGAACAACACATTCAAACAGATGGACCTAAGAGACATCTACAGAACACTTCACCCAAAGCAGTAGGACACACATTCTTCTCAAGTGCACATGGAACATTTTCCAGAATAGATCACATACTAGGCCACAAAAACAGCCTCAGTAAATTCAAAAGGACTGAAATTATACCAACCAGCTTCTCAGACCAGAAACATATGAAACTAGTAATAAATTATGCAAAGAAAACAAAACAGCCCACAAACACATGGAGGCTTAACAACATGCTCCTAAATATCAATGGATCAATGACCAAATAAAAACAGAGATCAAGCAATATATGGAGACAAATGACAATAATAATTTAACACCGCAAAATCTGTGGGATGCAGTGAAAGCCATGCTAAGAGGTAACTATATTGCAATACAGGCCTACCTCAGGAAAGAACAATCCCATATGAACAGTCTAAACTCAGTTAATGAAACTAGAAAAAGAACAAATGAGGCCCTAAGTCAGTAGGAGGAGGGACATACTAAAGATTAGAGCATAAATAAAATCAAGAAGAATAAAACAATCAATGAAAGCAGGAGTTGGTTCTTTGAGAAAATAAACAAAATAAACCCCTAGCCTAACTTACCAAGAAAAAGAGTCTACACAAAATCAGAAATGAGAAAGGAAAAATCACTACAGATACTACAGAAACAAAGAATTATGAGAGAATACTATGAAAAATTATATGCTAACTCATAGGAGACAGGATAGAATCAGAAATCCATTAAGCTATACTTTCATAATGCTATAGCCTAATGGCAACCAATAAGGCAATGAATCTAACTTCTAGAACTGACTTCCAAAGAGTTTTAAGCGAATGAAAACAGCTGGATTTTAACTTTCAAGTTTCCCTTCAAGCTAATACACTACTAAGCAGCCACACTGGCGCCTCTGCATGTTCCAGAGAAGAGAGACCAAGTATAGAAAAGTATATTTGAAACAGTATAGTTCAAATCTCTTTCTCAATGTGCAAAAGTTTAGGCTTTGAGGAAACTGAACTCCTTCAACAGGATGAGAAACCAAGTTATACTTCTGTAACCTAATGAACACCAAGTGTTGTCATGCCCAGGGTTCCTAGAAAGTAAGATTTTCTAGTTGTAGCCTTTCAAGAAAATGGTTCTGAATATCATTCTTACCAGCCAAGTATTTAACAGGGGAAGGAAAAGTTTTTTTCCCTTCTAAATGCCAAATACCTTCTTCATATCTTTTAATGCACACTTCTGACTTACCAGGTTTTTGTTCAGCGTCTTGCCCTCCAGACTAGCCTGTGAACTCCGAGCACAGCAATTACCTAAAGGATTAATCTTTGTATTGCCAACACTTAATATGCCATAACAGGTCCTTAATGTCTGACATAAAAAAAGTGCTGAAACATTTTCATGCTATGAAAAATACACAGAAGGTGGAGGAAATAAAAACTTCAAAAATGCAGAAGCTCAAAGATTCAGAGGACAATACATGTAAAGTTTTATTTCAATCAAATCACAACACTTTCTTTTCCTACTGCTTCAAAGTGCATCTACATCTTTTTTTTATTACATATCCACTTTTAAAAGATTGCCTGTGACATTATAGCAAGCCTCTTTTTTTCAGAGGAGTATTCCCAAATTCCTTCTTAAGTAAGATTCCATTCTGGTAAACGGTAATACATGAAATTACAATAAGCCAGACACTTAAAAGGACTTTTTTATAGTCTTCCAACAGTTTATTAGAAAGAATGTAGACATTAAAAAAAATCCCCACTGTCATGAACATAAATTGAGGTTTTCAGCCCTGGGACAGCTGAATCAAAAAAAGAAAAAAATCCAATAGTGTATTAACATTTTTTTCACTCATTTGCCATACTGACAGTGTAAATACAAATTCGGTCTAAATGTAGACTCTCAAGCAACAATGTACAGCTTTTCTTCGTCCTCCATGCTAAGAGATGTAAAAGTTTAAGGGTCAAACAACACCAAGTTAGGACATTCACTAGTTTTAGCTAAGATGTATCTGAAACACTGACAAGTTATCACTTGTGTAGTTATGTGAAGTAAATTTTTTGAAAAATAAAACCTTAGTGGAATAATCCTGAGGGATATAGCAGAGGAACAACAGGTTACCAGTTTAAGTGATCTGTTTTCAGTCACTTTGAGCCCATGTTCCAAGATCTAAAATTTAATTATCTTTCCTTAATCTGGGCACTTTCTATCATGTCAGTATCTATATTATGAAGTAAAGGAGACTGAGGTGAAATGTTTTTAATCACAACTGCTGTTATCAATTGCCTGGACCTCAATAGCATCATGGAAGTCTGGGAAATGTTCATGTGAAAGGTTACTTACTGCCTTAGCTGACTTAAAATTGCCCCATACAATGGTACATATCGACCCTTAGTGAAGCCGTTAAAAAAAACAAACAGGTTGAAAAATGGGTTAAAGGAGGCAAATACAACATCTGCCTTTAGAGCTATCAACTTGGGAATTCTCTCAATTACGAAATCTTGCAGAAGTTATTCTTCTTTCTCAAAATTCGTTGACAACATTCCTTACTCCAGGTCTGGCATTTCTGAAAGGATTTAAGATAGATTAGTATGAAGCACAAGGGAATAATCTACCTACTTAAAAGTCTTATAGGAAAAGCTGCCAACCAGAGTTAAATGTTTTCCTCATGAATTAACTGGTTATCTTTAAAAAATATGAAATCTCCAATGATTCCAATTTTTGTACTGGTTATTAGCAGCCATAAAGAAACAATAATTTTCCTTCTAAGAACTGGAAAGAAGTTAACTTCTCTATTTTGAGTTTGGTCTTTGATGTGAAATACCACTGTGTAAATGTACTTTCTACAAAGGCACTTACTTTCATCATCACTGTCTTGTGAATCCTGCAAAAGGGGAAATTAAGAAAGTTATTAAACTGCTCAAACATTCCTCTACCTTCACAGTTTGCCTTAAAAAGCTGAAGCACTGTACTTTTGATTAAGCAGCAAATCTATGCGTATATCAACCTTATGAATTTATTAATCAATGTATTTAAAAACAAATTTTCTCAAGACAAACAGACATACAGCTGAGGATCTATCTTCCTGTAAGATGTAGGCCTTTTGGTGGGAGTTGAGCCCATACTTTAAATCCCTTCCTATCAACCATGATGAATCCTGATTTAAAATGATTTTTCTTCTCTCTTGGCATTCAATGGAAGAGGAAAATGCATCAGTATGAAAATCACTGGATAGTCATAAGACAATCAACTCTAATCCTAGCTGTATTTTCCAGACTATATTGGTTCTTCTTGAGGAGGTTAACAGGATGCCAGGGTGGAGAATGGTCCAGTATGTCTTCTCTTAAATAGGTTCACAAGGTCCATCTGTTTACTATGATCTCTAACCAATCCTGCTCTAAAACCTGTTTCACTTTATTAAAACAATCCCTAATCTCTTTATTTAATTAATTACAAAGAATTAATAATTCTTTTGAATTCTGGTCCCTTTAAGAATAGGCCATGGGACACCAGTTTCCTAGTAAGTATATCTCTGAGAGCTATCACTTACCTATCTATCCCTCGAAAATTGGCATGTTTTAAAAATTGCTTTTCCCTATATTGTCTTTAGAAAAAAAACCAACAGGTGGCAAAAAAAGCAACCTTGAATCTATGTAAAACAAACCATAAGTATATTATTTCTTACAGTGTAGCACAGAGAAGGCACATAGTGAATCTGTGGCATCTTCCTGCACTGATGGACAGTGACTGCATTGGGGTATGGGTGGGCACTTGATAATATGGGTAAATGTAGTAACCACATTGTTTTTTCATCTGAAACCTTCATAAGAGTGTATATCGATCATACCATAATAAAAAAATTTAAAAATAAAGTATATTGTTTCTTAGTATTTAAGTAAACAGAAAATTTATAGACTTACATCATCTGCTCCATCTACTTCTGGTAAATCTACATCCTCGTCACCACCCATGTTGTTCATCATCTATTTGAAGTGTAAAAATCAGTTTTAAAAATGATGTTAAATTAAGCTCTAATTATTAGATTGCACACTGTCCAGAATATATCTTAAGTCTGTCAAAGATTTCCACCAATAAAAAAAGCAAAATAAACAGTAAGTACCTTCCTTTCTGGAAAAGGTAGATTCAGGTAATTACATAAAATCCTGAAAATATATAGGGAAGTTTAGACTAAGTTTTCATCGAAGAAAAGTGAAGCCACTAAAATTTATCCAACAAGGTATCTGTGTACAGTGCAGAAATTAAATGCCAAAATCCTGAATAGTGGTTACCTCTGGTACCTAAGGGAAAGAACGGGATTAATTTATAATTGTGAAGTTTTGTTTCTTTTTAAAGCTAAGTAACGTGTATTATGGTATTCTCATTATAGCTTTAAATATTGTGAAGAACAATAAATGATTGAAAATAAAGTCCTTCAGGATCATTAGTTTGCATAAAAGGCCTGAATATTGACTCAGAAGTTCAACAGCAGCAACTATATTAAAAACACAAAGTAATATAATTCTTGAAATAAAAGGTACACACTGTAGAAATATTCTGCATATGTAAATACCCTGTATACTTACAATAAACTAGAAATAATAATAGAGCATATTTATATGAAGTACTGATTTCCCATTTTTAGTTGTTTCTGACCATAAAGCAACTAATTTATTATTTAAAGTGCAAATAACCCAAATCTGTGTCAGTTGGGGAGTTATTTCAAGCTACAAATTCTCTGTAGTTTAAATTTTAAAAACAAAGCATTTACATACCCATGCATAATTTTATAAGTCTCAATGACTTGAAAAATATATTCTTACATGGATTTTAAAGTTAGCAGGGGCCTTAAAATGGTACCAAGTCAAATCTCTTGGTATAAAAATTCTGGGCAATTTAGTCTTGAATAGTACGAGTGAGCAACCGGTAGTTTCTGGATTTCTGAGGTACTGTTAAACATTTTGGGTTAAGTTTCTTGGAGCAGGAAAAATGCTCAAAATAGAACTGAATATAATCATGGCTATTTAGGAGGTCAAACAAAAGAACAACCAAGACACTAATTAATGTTATACTGGAGAGAGGGGTAGTGAAAGAGAACATGGTCAAAAGTTTGTGACTTGCCCAGATTGGTGAAAGGTGGCACCAATTACTACAGGTAAAGAATAACAGTTGAAGAGAATCACATGAATACCATACCATATCCTTCCCTCCCACTTATGAATCAAGGCACCAGAACCATGTGAGGAGAGATCCTGAATAAGCAGTTTCATATAGGCAGCTGGAATTTACTCTGCTTAGTTCTCAAGTTTTTGAAGAAACATAAAGTCTATTCAAAATTTCAAACAGTAATGAGAAATGGATTCAATGGGTCTGTCTATATTTAGCTTACAACCTGATGTTTTCTCTTTTAATAATAAGCTTTACTGAAGTACTTTTGATAACATCAATTCTACTTAAAGGGAGATCAGTCTTTTTTTTTCTTTAGCTATGGCAGAAATGTCTTAAACAAACCCTTTCCTTAATTTTGCAAACTAGAACATCCCTATATACCACCCCATCATGCACATCTCACCATGACTCGTGATTAAATGTTTACATTCATATTTCACAGTTCCAAAATGCAAGCCATTTCTTGTGTTCATGCTCAGAATGAACTGTTTAAGTAACAGCTGTGCTATTACTTAAATGGATTTATTCATTGTATGATTTATTTTTCTTTACATATCAGCTTTAGAACTTAACTGCAATTTTTAAAAAATGATAAAGGAATGTCAAACTTCAGGATTAAATGACCATTGTTAAGATCTTATTTGGTTGTACCACAGAATGGCCTTTTCTCAAAGCAAAATATTGTACATTTTAAATATTATCAAGCACTTTAAAACCAAATTAAGTTAACTACATAGAAATTAACTGGGAGGGAAGGCAGAAACGCACTTAGAACTTACCTCAGAGAAACGATCAAAATTAGACATATCTTCATCTGAATCATCTTCCCAGTCTTTCCAATTATTGAAGTCCACACTAAGCCAATTAAGCTATAGACCAACACAAACATCACTCTATGATTAGGCTAACTTGCACTCAACTGGTGTGTACCTTAAAATCACATTTTTAAAAATTGTGGGTTCATACTACACTAGTAAGGCATGGAATTAGCACAAAAAGAACAGATTAAAAAATAATCAGTGAAGTCAAATGCAGCAGTGGCAAATATAGCTTCATGGAGCTTCTTTCACAATTAAATAAACGTACTTTTTAAAACAACAAAAATCACTGGTAGGAACTACTCTCAAATGCTTAACCTTTCTTTAGTGGCACCAAAATATGCTCCCATTGATATCCGGAGTAATTTATTTATAAAGACTTCTAGGCAAAGCCTGCCTCTTAAATGCAAAAGATTCTGCATTAACTAGTGACTAAACTTATCTAGACTAGTTTTAATTAAAAAACAACTATTAAATATCAAAGTAGAGAAAAACAGAAATCAAGGATTTAATAGTACTAAGCAAAACAGTATATTCCTCAAACAAATATATCTTTTATTTCTTAAAATAAAAAGACTGAACTTTCAAAAAAGAAAAACAAACATACCTTTGCCCTTTCTTTTGTTAACCTTGGCCACGACTGGCCAGATTCTCCTTTTCGTAAACAACATAAAATTGATCTGTCAGTTCTTTTATGCTTAGAATCCTAAAAACAGAAACAGAAGCATTATCCACACAATTATCACTATAAGTAGAAAGTAGCTTATATTTCTTCACCTTTCCTTTCTAATTTACTACATTGAAACTATGGAAAAAAACATCCCCTGGACTCCTGTTTCATTAGTTGTCCGATTGCAAAAAAAAATATTTTTTTTCTTTCCTACACAAGGTGAGTAGAATAAAACCTTTAGAAAATTAACTAAATATGGTACAAATCATGGAATGAAGATTCTATACTCAGATTAGACAAGCCTGAAGAGTATTGCCCCTGAGAAACAGTGAACAGCAAGAACAGAGCATGCAGAAAAAGGAGAATATTGGAAAGTAAGTACACCTAGTCAGCCTCAAAACTGTTAAGAAAATTAGTGCTTACTGCTTAAAAAAAAAACAAAAAAAAAAAACTTAGAGTATGTCCAAAATCTCCACAATTTAAATTAGGATAAATCATCGACTACTTACATTTGGATCAATACAGTGAAAAAGATCGATTTCATTTAAATGTTTAAAATTATCACTTCCTCCAAGACAACTGTATTAAAAAAAAAAGAGAGAATGAGCCTCTTCAAAGAGATAAAAGATTAGTAATAACTTCAGTGAAAACACTTTAAAAAGCAAGCAAGCCAGAAGCTATTCAGTGTCTGAAATAAGCTTTTTAACCAATGATGTAAAATGGCAATTTACCTGAATGTAAGTTTGGATTTTTCAAAATTTACATTAACATCCTTACTGTCTTCAACACAAAATTCAATGAAGACATAGTCCCTTCGATCATACCACTTTGCAGAAGCAGGCTGCCTATAAACATAAAATCAGACAAAGTTAAGCTACAAATTCATTAGTTATTTACATAACCTTCAATGTATAACATAAGGATGTTTCTCTACTCCATTACAATCTTGATTATTTTGAGAAAGTTTATTACAATTTCAAGTGGAAACTACATTTTTACTCTACAGCTGCATTCCAAGTTAAAACACACTAATTTCATTGGGGAACAACAGTGGCGAAGCTTAGAACCTCACCCCGCCCCCCCTGTGTTCAGAGAAAGCTTCTGTATCTATGGATGTTTTATTGCCCTTGTCTAGCTCGGATTAGCACATAGTCTACAGGCACACACCTGATCATCTACAATTGCTCTCTTACAACACTAAACTATGTTTTCTACCTTTATCTTGCATCTACCTACCACTTCCGCAGTTTATTAAAAA